CCCCAAAACCCCAAAACCCCAAAACCCCAAAACCCCTCGATAAATCAATAAAATTGAAATAGCCACAAGTAAGATGTCGATCAGCTTATCCCGGGTACAGATTAATTTACTCAAATTTTACAGGCAATTCCCTTCTCAATAATAGCATATGGTGGTACTTCTCTCTTCATGTACAAATATGGGAAAATGAAGATCGCCAATGATAAAATTATGGAAATCAAGAACAAAAGAGAGTTTCTGTATAAGAAACATCAAGAAATAGCAGAAGGGTATGAGAAAATGATCGAAAAACGGGAAGGCATTAACAAGCTCATCCGGTTCAGAAAGACCCTCATCTCCTATGCAACAGGTAAGATTTGTTCTGAAGAAACTTACTTGCGGCTTAAAAAATTTATTACAATCTTTACAGGCAAAGTCCTTGAGACTGGCTGAGGAACAGGAATAAACTCGGAGTTTTACAAAGAAGATGCTGAAGTCACTGCTGTTGACTGGTCTAAGAATATGATACAGGAAGCCCTTGGTAAAGAATATGATACAAAGAAAATTAAATATAAGATTGCAGATGTCGAAAATTTGCCCTACAAAGATGAAAGTTTTGACACTGTTGTTGATACATTCTCGTTACAAAGGTAAGTCATGCCAAAAATCTCCCATTTAGCTACTTTGACCGTAATAAAGCTCTTGGTGAGATCAAGAGGGTATTAAAACCAGGTGGGTTATTCCTGGTCCTTGGAAGAGGAACCTCCTACGTCTCTCTTTACAACGAATATCTCCAATTCAGAGCTGGCCTCGACATTGAAAGCGAAGGATCAGTATTTAACCTTGATTTTGAAAAACTTTTTGAAGAAGATGATGACCTCGAAGTTGAGCATATTGAAAGAAAGAATCTTGGAATGACATATATCATGATGGTCCGCAAAAAATCAATAAATAAACCTGTTGCTGAAACTCAAGAACCCCAAAAGAAGGAGTAAAGTAGCTTCAATATCACAATAAATCTCTGGGGTTTTGGGGTTTTGGGGTTTTGGGGTTTTGGGG